TCTGTATAGACACAGCTGCCTGACGATAACCTGATGTAAGACAGTGTGTCCAGCTCTAGACCAGGATTCGAACTGCAGATATTTGGGTTGGTGCAAGTGCTCTAAGTACAGTTTGAACCATTGCCGCCCCTGGGTAAACAGTGGTAAAAAGTCAAATACTGATAAGGGATAGCCATATTTGTGGTATGTGAATAATACACACAGACCAACCCTTTTCCATTTCTTGACGTCAAAGTTCAGTTAAAGACTCTGATTTAAACATTTGCATATGCAAACTATAAATAAATGTCTGGTGCATGTCTGATCAGGTGATATATATGGACCTTGTTGCTCTTACACAATCGTCTATAGAGTGCACTTATGTTAAATGCTTAGTTGGTCTTACTTAATAGAATGTCAACAGGCTGACGCAGACATAACTCCACTGTTGACTTTAGTAGTGACAAGTGCATAATGGCAGCAGTGACATCATGTCCCGGTGACAAAAGCCATGGATGGGCAGATAGCTGACAGTATGGAACAAAGCTTGTTTGAACAGCACTTCCCTCCGCGTCTCTCTCTGTCAGTGTGGCTTTTATTACGTGCATGGCTGCGCCCCATCTCTGCCTCTCCGGCTTGGCTTGGTGCTGGCCAGGCTGCGTGGGGATCCTGGAAATGAAAGGATGGATTGATCCGGACTCCCTTCTTCCCTCTCCTCTGCTTCCTCTGTGCATTGTGGTCCGGAGACTGGGCCTATTGATGGAGCTTTGTGCATTTCTTTCCAAGGAACACAATATAGAAATGGAGGGACTTGTACAGTGTACATTTTCACTGCTGCTCTGGTGGTGCATCTATAATTGATCATTGGGAGGAAAGCGGATATCCCTTTGCCTTCTCCTCAGCAGAGATGCATTATGTGTATTATGTGTGATAGCAGTGCATCTTGGACTGGTTCATATTGTATATCATGCACTTAAAAGAATGAGGTCTGTTTTGGATCTGTTAACACAGAACAAGCGTTTGTCTGAAGTGCCAAATAGGGCAAGCTACATGATAACAAAATAGCAGAAAAAAAAACCCAAAAAATAAAAACATTTTTCTCATAGTGACTAATCTTTCATTTGATTTTGTCTTATTAAAACACAAAAAGTCTTTAAATATTAACTTCCTGAACATAAACCAGACAGATTCTTATGCCATATAATGCAATAAAAAGGAACATTTCCTGTGACCCAATATAAGTTTGATTGAGTTTTTAGGAGTATATTTTGTTATACGGCACAGGATTGGAAAGTAATTTGTTGTTTATTTAAAAAGTCTGTCTTGACAATGTGAACTTTTACTTTATTATGTCTTGAGGCGCTCCTTTGATCTAATTTAACAAAAACAAGGTGTGGTATTTGTAGTTACTTATTATTGAACCATGCTTATTTGAATGGTTCAAGGAAATAAGTTTCCGAATTCCATTAATAGAACCTGCTGTAAAGTCACCATCTCATCTTAGTTCAGGGAAATGATAACCACAGTTGTTTATAATAATAAATGGTTGTGTGAAAGAGCCAGTAACGTGTGTCGTGGCAGAGTATTAATGATCCTTTTTGCACTATATTACTGTATAGATACGAATAGGGTGGTCAGAAGTATAAAAAAATCAATTACTAGTCGATACTAAAACTAGAAAGTATGGATAAACAAGTCACATTCACAGGACAGAATAGCAGAATGATTTTGAGCTGGATCAGAACAAGTATAAAAGACCATGGATGGTCTTTTATACTTGTTCTGATACAGCTCAAGCTAAAAAAAAAAATTATTGAACCATGCCTATTTGAATCGTATTCAGGGAATCATATTATGGAGTCTATTCCCTAATATCAGAATCAAGTTTACTTTTTTTTTTAACCAAGTTGTCATTATAGTTATTTATATAATGTAAATTCTAGATCTATTATTACAATATTTATCTCAATTCATGATCACTTTTTACGTCCATTTTTATATCAGGCCTAAAGCTATACCAGTTTTGACCCTCCTACTCACCAGGCCATAAGGCTAATAAAGTTAATGGGGGCTATAAACACTCTTCATATCTGCTTTATTCTGGGGAGACTCCGGTTCTAGTTGCTAGCTGAAGAGGTAGGAGGTGCTGCTTGCTCCTTATGCACCCCTCAAGCATTATGATATGCCAGCGTCTAATCCCGTGCTTAGTGTTGCAATGTAAATCCGCCGTATATGTCTGGCACAGGTCAAAAAGACAACTCATCATAATTAATTACGCATCCAAGAGCCCCTCTGACTAACAAATTATGATGCTTCGTCTTCCAAATGTTGCATAATAGTGTTTGGAACAATGAAGTGCCCATTCTGTCAGTCTACACCTCTTGTCAACAGTGAGGTAGTGCTTGCTGGCAGTACAGAGAAAATGTCACCTCACTCCAGTTGATGCACAAGGCTATTTTTAATCATGTTTGTATCAAAATATAAAATATAATACCTAACTCATATCTAGGGATGCACCAGTACGGTTAACACGTATGAGCTCTGATCCAGTCAAATTAGCAGTTTGAGTTGGCATGTCAGTTGATGCAATGAAATTATCTACATCAGGGGTGTCAAACTCAAATTCACAGAGGGCCAAAATTAAAAACTGGGACTAAGTCATGGGCCAAACTAAATATTTATTGAAAATTTTCTACAACATCTGCATGTTTTCTTTTCTTTCGAGATATGTAATGTTAACCTATATTAAAAAATAAATGTTTAATAATAGTTTTGCTTAAATATTGAATCCAGAACAAGCATAATATAAAATGATAACACAATTTTAAATATATAATGACTCTATAGCCTATTTGTAGCTGGCGGGCCAGCTCTAATACATATTTGATATGATCTTGTGGGCCAAATATAATTATATCGTGGGCCAAATTTGGCCCCTGGACCTGAATTTGACATGTCTGATATACAAGCTGTTTTTGGCCATGAAAGTCTCATTTTAGAACTGTGTACAAAAGTGTATTGTAGCAACTTGCAGGATCACAAAACATGCTAGAATCACTTTTATCCTGCGCTGTTACTTTTGTTTTCAGTCTCTGCAGTGGAGCAGGTTTATAGCAGGTAGTGGCAGATAAATCAGAGTATAGATATCAGTATCAGAAATGACAAATCTGGTTTGGAGAATGTATTTCATCATACCTTTGACACCATGGATGGCCTGGCTAAGTCCCCATAGGTGGCATGTCCGCTCTGACCGGGACCATGTGTTTCCATGCCTGCTCGGCCGTGCGCAGACAGGGGACAGGTGGAGCTGTGTTGTGGGGAATGTAGTCAGGGACAGCAGTAAAATATTCTCGCCCTTTGTACTTTTAATATAAGAGAATATACTTTTTTTTTGGTTAGTCAAAATACGTGCTGCTGTTCTCTATTGTTTCGTGTGAACTTATATAGCAATGGTGTTGATGTGCTTGGTGTCAAACATGTTGGAGAGAGAGTGACAGAAGGTCTGTGTTGGAGGGCTGCGGAGCATGGGGTGTCCCAGCTGAAGGAGCCAGCTGGTGGAGGGAGGGAGCTCCAGTCTTTCCGGAAGGGAATTCTCCATTCAGAAGGCACAGTGGAGGATAACCCTCAGCAGTAAATGTGCCTGGTGTTAGACTGTGTGTTTACAAGCAATTGATGACATTTAGTTTGGGATATTTGGATTATAGCTACACATGTTTACAGTGAATTGGATGGGAAAACTCGTGTCAAATGCTCTTTAATTTAAAACTTGCAAATGCAGAATTCCAATATAAAAGAGCTGAACCAGTTGAGTCAGTTCAGTGGGAAGATGAAGCTGTCTTATTTTACGCTGCTCATAACTGTCCCCTTCGGCAAAGTACACCATTAAAGCAGTATTATTCCGTTTGACTTTCACCTGCCTGACTTTTATCTGTGGCATTCCCCATACTTGGTTACAACAACTTCCATCAACCAAGAGCAGTAACACATCTACTTTGTAAACACAGACCTACAGTGTGCTTGCAGGGTTTAAGGGTTTAATTTCAAAGTCTATTTCAAAACCAAAGGAATTGACTCAGTACTGATTACAATACCACAATGACGATAGAGGCTTCTTATTAGAATCAGAGTGTCATTTCATACACAAAATAATAGTGTGTATTTATAATGAGTAATAGAACAGCTCATACCTCGTCATAGTACAGAAAAATGACCAACATGTTCCCACTAGAGTAAATATTGACCTTCAAGCTGAACAATAAGTTGATATAATGATTATTATGACAGGCCTAAATAATAGTACTTTCTTATACTAGTTCTGATTTTGTCCCGTTAATGCGATTTATTTATTTATTTTTTGCAGTATTGATACCTGCTCAAACAAGTTTGTATTTCAATAATTGGAACTTGTTTTGACAACCCTAGTCTGTCCACATTACCGTAATATTAGATCAAGTGAAGCATGCCAGTATTAAGCAGAAAGAGTTAGATGAGACAGGACTTTAATTCACCTCAGTAACTACAAAATGAATACTATGTTTAGGGATGTAATGATAACTGAAATATTGTGATATCGTATCGTCAAAAGCCTCACAATAATATCTTGGGCTGTCACAATATATCGAATCACAAGTTCCTTTGCTTAAATGCATGGTTTTATAGAAGCAACAGCTTATAAACATAGGGAACTACATATCCCATGATTCATTTCTGTGCAGAAAACATGAAGAAATATGTTTTTGACTTGAATAATCCAGACCAAGGTATTTCAAAAGCAGAAAAGTGTCCTATCTACCTTTATATTAGTCTCTTCAAAATATCGCAATAAATATCGTACTGTGAGATGCATATTGTGATAATATCGTACTGAGAGATTTCAATATTGTTACATCCCCACTATGCTTGCTCAAAATCCTAACAGATCTTCCGTCTTTCTTCCTTCTTCAGGTACAATGGCTCGCTACCCAATGGAGACCGGGGGAGACGGAAAAGCAGATTTGCCCTGTACAAGAGGACCAAAGCCAACGGGGTTAAGCCAAGCACAGTGCACATCCTCAACACACCGCAGGCCTCCAAGGTACACAACACAAGCCAACATAAACACTGGACCCACTGTATATTACGCTATTTTCTCATCTATGTTGTTTCCTCATCAAAAATAGACCTGGAGTTGTGTTTTGTTTCATTCACACATGGTTAACACGCAAACTGAAAACATTCTTTCACCTTGCGATGCCATGTGGTAATACAGGAAGTACTCCACTGTGTTTTTAAACTCCATACACCTTCACTAGAATCATCTGGATGATTTCAAGCCTGGAATTGTCTCTGTGCACAACGGCGCCCTGCTAACGTCACCATTTCCTGTCCCAATTTTAGTTTTTTCCCCCAGAGTTGTGCTAAAATGAATAAATATTTTAAGATAAGGCGGTGAAAAGGGAGCTGTGGGTGGATATCTCTAAAAACATGTTAAAAATTACACAAAAAAATTGAATACTTGAGCAGAGGACATTTCCAAGTTTAGAAAGAGAGGCGCTTATGTCTCAATTTTAACACTAATACTAATTTTGAGGCATAATAAATTAAAACAGCAGCACAAACTGAAGTAATCTACATATAAAAATAATTAGGTTGTCTTTATTTTAACTCATGTGAAATTTAATAAGTTTTTTTTTTTAATGTTTTAGAGCTAGTTGGCATGCCGCTGTGCTCAAAGCCTATTGCCAATCTGTACTGAACTGAAGATAAAAGGTCGCTGTTAACTTGAAAACTACTTCATGACATCACAAGGTGGAGCTTTAGAGATGTAGACGGGCATATTAAAGGATTACTAAAACAAAACACAACTTCTGGTTTGGTTTTTGTCTTGTTGAAGCAGGAAGAGACCATAAGCTAACATTTATTCTGTCCATTCATCTATTTTGTGTAATATAGGACCTTTAATGACTCTTGACAGCTTTGCTAGAGAAAAACTGTTGAAATGTAAAGCTCTGACATTATGCTTGGCCTGTGTTATGCTGACATTCACAGTACAATCGCCGCAGTTCTCACTCAGGCCTCCGAGCTTTTTTCTGCTCCACTGTGGCTGCCAAAAACTGCACCGGCCTGTATAACGTGTCGGCCTCCTGCATTCCAGCCTTTAGTTCCCAAGCAAAAGTGGCAGAGCAGCCAGAGGAGCTGCTTACCTCTGCAGCGCTACAGGGAGGCCCACAGCGCACATTTGTAAAGACTTAAGCTCTTCCCAGGGGCCCTTTGGTTCAGGTTACACCCAACCTGTGCACTTGTTGCAGTCAGACATGCTATTTTTTGAAAAATTTTGCTGTTTCGTTTCTGTTGTGATGTTGTGACAAATAAATATCTGTAAGTCTTTTTATTATACGTTCTGTTTATTTTAAGTCGCAATAATGGGTTTAAAATGACTTAGTATTAGAAACAGATCTGTTGATTCTTGTTCAAAACTGCAGAACTGAGAGGCTTTTTATTTGTGGTTTTATTGTTGGAAAAAGTGGCTACGTAACATTTTTAACCCATGTGTATAACACTCCCGGAGTCTGATTTTTAAAAAAAATAATAGCAAGGTGTTGTCATGATACAAAAATTTCAAACTTGATTGTGATATTAAGGAATAGACTCGATACTCTATACTGATTCTGATACCACAATGATAATAAAAACACTCCGTTCACACTTCTTTCTTTCTTCTTCTACATTAAATCACCATCACTATATATTGAATTAGTCTCTTTGCATAAATTAAGAGTTATGGTGCAGCAATAGCTCAAAAATGACAGAGGGAACTACATAGACCATGATCCTTTGCTCCATTGCAGTGCAGACTACAAGAAGGAATAACAGTTTTTAGCACTTTTAAGCCTTAATTCTTTGGATTAAGTTTTATCAAGGCATTTTTAGAGGAAAAAGTAGCATAGTTAACAGTTTTAGCTGTTTGGCCTCCACAAAATATTGAAATAAATATCGTATCATGAGATGTATATTGTGAAAATATCGTACCAAGAGATGTGGATATTGTTACATCCCTAATCTTGAGCCTCCCCACCATATCATGAACTTTCCCACAATATCGCAATAAATATCGTACCGTGAGGTTCATACCATGATGATATCGTATTGTGAGACTTGGATATCTTTACACCCCTATTAAATCATAGTATTTTCTTTTATTTTACTCAGTTATCCAGGTAGGTTCCATAGTGGTCCATGGGTGTACACGAGTCTATGCTGTCTTATACTTCTTCTGATACAGGAGATGTTAATTTCTGTTCTGTGAATGTGACTTTGCTCAAATGAGTATCTATTATCTGATTTTCGATTTTTGACAACCCTACCATATTATTTAGTATTGAACAATAACAAACATAGATCTGTTCATTGTAAACTGCAATACTGCAATATATCTAAAAATGTATTTTCTTTTCAAAACTGCAGAACGTGAGAGGCTATTTTGGGCAAAAAAGCTGCATCATATTTTTGAACACCACATGTATGATCTGGACTTTCAGTTTTTGAATAACTGCAATTAGGTACAGAGAAGTGGGCAGAGAAATTTTACAATACAGGATTACCCAAACATGCTTGAATCAATCGAAATACTACTCTTGAGTAAGCTAATGATGAGGAAACACTAGGAATGCACCGATTCCTGTACTGGTAATGAATATCTGTGCCAATACTGAACATTTTTGCTGGATTGGGTATCGGTTACATAATATCGGACGATTTACAGGCTAATTTTGGCCTGGAACATCTCATAATGTTTGAACTTTTATTCATATGAAGTTCTTCAGTGGTCATTTGAAGGAGAAATCACAATTGCATTACACACAGTTTGATCTCTTGTGTAATAAGTTAGCTGTGTTTTAAGGAAATAAGTGTAATTTTGTATCCATTCACTGAAAGGGTGTAACGATATCCCAGTCTCACGATACAATATCATCACAGTATGAACCTCACGGTACGATATTTATTGTGATATCGTGGGAAAGCTCATGATATGGTGGGGAGGCTCATGTTTAGACATGTAACAATATTCAAATCTCTTACAATATTCACTCAATATTTTCACGATATACATCTCACGGTACGATATTTATTGCAATATTTTGTGGAGGCTAACAAAACTGTTAATATGTGCTACTTTTTCCTCTTAAAATGCCTTGACAAGACTTAATCCAAAGACTTAAAAGTGCTTAGTGCTGTTATTTTTTCTTGTAGTCTCCACTGAAATGGAGCAAAGGATCATGGTCTATGTAGTTCCCTCGTTTTTTTTTAGCTACTGCGGCACCATAACTCTTAATTTAAGCAAAGAGACTTGTAATTCAATATTGTGATGGTCCACGATATTACTGTGAGAACTTTGATGATATTTTGGTTATTGTTACATCCCTACAGTGATATTGGACATCATCAGACATTTAAAGCCAAAGCATCAGTATCGGAACTGAAAAGCTGGATTGGCGCAACCCTGGGAAACACTTATAATATTGTTAAAAGCTTGTCTTTGTGCTTCCTGAACAAAAAAAGGAAGAATCATGTCTGTTGTGTACAGATAAAGTTGACCGGATGTCTGATTATCAAACCTTCCGACAAAATTATGCAATGTTTTTTTTTTTCACTTTCGACGTTGCGAAGGACCATTTCCCTATTGCACTTTGGTTCCTTTCCTTCTATCAACCTGCTACTAACTGCCTGGTCGACATTTTTAGAAGTCGGTGAATGTAACGTTCTTGCAGTTGGCTGACCCCTGAATACCAGCTGCTGTGATGGTCAAAAATACCCCTCAAAAGGCAAGGTGCAAGCACAGGACAGATTAGAATGGCCTTTAGCTGTGAATGTTTAGTTCTCAGCGTTGTCTACCTCTGCACACGGCCACATGGAAATACCCACGTGCCCTTGCACACTAACACACCGCGCTGTTAATGAAGCTACTCTCCCACGTTTATATTTTTACCGGTGTAACCCAGAAGCACCGAAGAGGACATCCAGAATCCGGGGGGGGAGTGTTATTTTTACAGTACAAGCTCTGTAAAAATATAGGTTTAAATTTGCAGCGGAGGAAGGAACAGGTGGAGGGCCATTTGTGCTTCACTGGTGGCATTTGTCCCTGTCTGTTTGAGGTTACAGCAGAGAGACTGACCCACTTCTGTCCCCCCCTCTTGCACGTGGACCGACCAGGCTTGTTTGGGTAATGGAATTCACAGATTAGCCGTGGATGATAATAGCATGTGGTACTGTGGTGTTGATGTGCCCACCCCACACAAGCAGAGACTAAATTGGGGAACTTTAGCTTGGAGACAGGCCTTGTGAACTTTACGGCCTCTGTGGTTAGAAGGAGGGTGACTTTCTTGTCTTTTCCGATGTCGTAAATTCTCAAGACTTGTTGCAGATGCACTTGTAAATGTGTGTGGTTTGAAAACGTCATGTTGCACTTTTGGTTGGACAGTTGACCCTTCGGCAGTCAGGAAAGGTTCATAAATTAGGGCTGCGCAATTTGGGAAACAAATCTAATTGCAATTTTGTTTTTGGATAAGCATTGCGATTAGATTTGCTAATAAGATTTTGTTCAAAGTTTGTATTTTAAAGGTCGTATAGTATGCAAAATTTACTCTAGTGAGCTTTTAGTCACATTAGAATGTTGTTTCCTCATCAAATACTGTTTCCTGGTTTCATTCGTTTGAGTAACCCTTTATTATTATCTGTTTGTCTTTGGAGTGTTTTCTGTCTGAGAGAAGAACTCAGCCCAAATGTGCAGGATTTGTGTGTTAAACATGTGTGAATGAAACACAACTCCAAGTATGTTTTTGATGTGGAAACAAAAAATAGTATAACATAGATCAGAAAGTAACATCACATCAGCCCCTGAAACATACCCAGAAGTACGTCTGGGTATTATTATTAAGAAGTTGGCAATACGATACCTTGATACGTTGGTCATGATGCGATACATACCTCCATACAGCGAGCCTTCGATTCAGTACGATATATTTAAAATCAATTCGATACGGTCCAGTAAAAAAAATGGCAAAATCAAGACTGTGATACTAAAAGTCTTTATTAAACCACTTCTTGTGGAAAGTTAATATGAAACACACCCAATTTAATCATCAAAACAGTGAAAGTGTCAAATGTCACATAAACGAATTTCCTTCATTTAAACAAGCAACAAAACTGTAGCTCTGTAACAAAATAATTTAGTGAAATATATTGCCAAGAGTATTTTTGTTATATCGATACAGCAGCCCACGATATCAATATTGTATCATCACATTAAACTATACAATATATCGATATTTCAATATTTATGCACACCCCTACCCAGAAGAACTGACAAAAAGACTGAAATATGAACTGACAAACTAATTAGGGATGCAATGATACAGCTTTTTCAGTTCCGAGACTGATGTTGATAGTTTGACTTGAAGTATTGGTTGATACATGATACTAACCAATACCAGTTTAAAGATGGAAAATGGAGCTTATTTCTTTAAAACACAGTTAACTTATCACACAAGAGACCCAATTGTTTTGTGCAACTGTTATTTATCCTGAAGGTAACTACTGAGCTGCTTTGTATGAACAAAAGTTCAAACATTCTGAGGCATCCAATTAAAGGTCCAGTCACAATATCAGCTTAACTGATATTATGGAACCGATACATGATACCGATAATTTTTAAAATATCAGCACTGATATTCGATACCAGTATCATTTTCTGTGCATCCCTAAAACTAATACAAGAATCACATTTATGTTTGTACAGATCTAAACTACAGTGTTAACATTTTTTATGCAGAATAAGACAGGAGGTAGATAGATAAATAAAGATTGTTTGTGGAGGAAATTATGGTACTTGAAAAAAACCTTTATGATTTGCTAATTGTGTCCATTCCAATTCCAGTTTTGATTTGATTGCAATTAATCTCGCAGCCCCACTATAAATCAAATTGCTTATCTGAGTTACACTACAGTTACACTTTAGTGAGCAGAACAGAAGGTTAATGCAATGGAATATATAAAGAAATACAGCAGTCCGGGCCATAATTATGTTTTTTTTCATAATATTTGTTACATTTATTATTACAATCAGCAACCCACGAGGGACACCATAATAGCAGGGGACTGTTGGCCCTGAACTGTAATTACCACAGCTGTGATGTAATGTTTGTGTAAGACATTTGGTAGTTGTTTCCTGTTTGTCAATTGTTCACAGCTTCAGTGTCAAAAGCCACAAACATGAAAAGACTTGGCAATAGTGTGTCACCATCTGCTTCGGATGAATTGCTTGTACTCTTCTCTGTGTCCAACAATGCAATGAGTTCAATAAGATGTTTGTTTATTTGTTTTCCAGGCTGTTAACAGTAAAGGCCAGCACAGCATCTCCTACACACTGTCCAGGAACCAGACAGTAGTTGTGGAGTACAGCCATGACAAAGACACAGACATGTTTCAGGTAAAATATAAAGGAAAAGAAATGAGCAATCGCTTTTCTTTAGCCACATGTCTGAATATTAAACTATGTGTGTTTTGTTGTAGATTGGACGCTCCACAGAGAGCCCCATAGACTTTGTGGTGACCGACACTGTAGCAGGAGGCCAGGAGGGTGAGGAGACCCCCATCACTCAGAGCACCATCTCTCGCTTTGCCTGTCGCGTGGTCTGTGAGCGCAACCCCCCCTACACCGCGCGCATCTATGCCGCTGGCTTTGACTCCTCCAAAAACATTTTCCGGGGTAATTACTAGTTAGTGCACAATCATATAGCACAATTTCCAAGCTTGTCTGTAATCTGTGCACTGTTATTCTTGTGTGTGTTGACAAGTGTAGATTTATCTATTTGTTTTTCTTCTAAAGGAAAAAGCTGCAAAATGGAAGAACCCTGATGGTCACATGGATGGCCTGACAACCAACGGTGTGCTAGTTATGCACCCGAAAGGTGGTTTCACAGAAGACTCTAAGCCCGGCGTCTGGAGAGAGATCTCAGTGTGTGGAGATGTTTATACTCTGAGGGAGACCAGATCAGCACAAACCCCCGGGAAGCTGGTCAGTAGTCTGTTGTCTTTGTGCTATAAGGTATTTACAGCTTATTTACAGCTAACTGAGGCTGTGTGCTTGCCCTCCACTTGTGCAGGTGGAACATGAGAGTAACATCCTTCAGGATGGCTCCCTGGTGGACCTGTGTGGAGCTACACTCCTCTGGCGCACAGCAGAAGGCCTCTTTCACACTCCCACACAGAAACACTTGGAGGCTTTGAGACAGGAGATCAATGCGGCGCGTCCCCAGTGCCCCGTTGGGCTCAACACCTTGGCCTTCCCGAGCATGCAGCGCAGCCGTGCACTCTCCTGTCTGGAGGACAAGCAGCCCTGGGTCTACCTGGCCTGTGGCCACGTTCACGGCTACCACAACTGGGGCCACCGCTCAGAGCAGGAGCCCAACACCCAGCGGGAGTGCCCCATGTGTCGTATGGTGGGGCCCTATGTGCCGCTGTGGCTGGGCTGTGAGCCTGCCTTCTACGTGGACACGGGAGCCCCCACACACGCCTTTGTGCCCTGTGGACACGTGTGCTCAGAGAAGTCGGTCAAGTACTGGTCTGAAATCCCTCTGCCTCATGGAACCCACGCCTTCCACGCAGCCTGCCCCTTCTGTGCCACCCAGCTCAGCCTCCCTCAGGGCTGCTCCAAGCTAATCTTCCAGGGCCCTGTGGACTGAGGCCTGCTCTGGCTCAAGGACTTAAGACAAGTGCCAACATGCTGTGAAACTCTTTAGAATATTTAGTGCTTTCTATTGTTTGTGTAAGCCAGGCAGTGGAAAGACTGTCTCAAGTTCGGGTCATATACTGTGGATCATGCACAACAGAGCCATTAGACTGTGACTGGGTGAAAGGCCGCTGTGGGATCCAGACAAGTGGAGTACACTGGACCATGATGCCTGGCTCATTTATAATGAAATACTGTTTCATCTCCGGCCGACCAATCACTTGGAACAGCGCTGGTTAAACTACATTTACTGCTGGTTTTCAATCAGAGTGCCAGATTACAGTGGTGGTACAGAGGGAGCAGTGAGCAGGTGTAGTTCTGCTTTAAAAGGTGAAAACGTGGCCATGGCTTTATAGTGGAGTTCCCGGTGAGTGTGACACTAGTTAAGTTTATACAGAGCCTGACAGCTGGACTGTTGGCTGTAACAAAAGCCAGGAGACGAGGAGCTCATGGCTTCATCCCTCAAACTCACCCATGGATCCAAAGTACAAAACAAGGAGGACTCATGTACAGAGATTTAACCAGTGCCTCAATCTTTTCTAATATTACAGAGATATTGTTGAAGGCAGATAGATTTTCATATTGATGACACAAGGAACACAAAGATTCTCCGCATTTTTACCAGACAGAGGAGCTGTTACTAAACGGAGGCCCTTGTACTGTTTTGTAATGCAAATGTTAATATATATTTTTCTGCATAAATAATTTGCGTGAATGTTTAAATGTGTGGGTTTGACTGAGTGGGCGCCCAACATCATTTCACAACAATATATGCTCTCATCCAATCCCCAACTGACAAAGACACAATACAGGGCTTCATTGTGAGTATCCTGAAATACTGTAGATGTTCCTACAGATGGCGCTTGTTTCCATGCGCCCCCTGTCTATGCACATATAACTATCAGAACCCCCACCCCATTCCCACGTACTGTATTCAATCTGCACTGTTGTTAGCTTTATCACATGCTGGGGCTAATCCAATGGCAAACCTGGGCTCTGTCTCACCAGCTTCCCAAGATTATACCAAATATAAAAATGACTTTTTCGTCCCTATTCAAGATGCAACAGCCACCTTTTTCTGATTCAAAGTGTCTTCCTGTAAACAATCTTGAACCCAACTGCTGCTACAGTGGAACGATGACAGCTCCGGATTACCGTCCAGGCTGTAAGGATGCACAACCCAGCTCCATGGGAATAATATTATTATCACATGCTATGCCAAGATGGGTGGATTCAATTGTGTGAGAATGAGTGGAGTTGTCCAGAAAATATAGAGTTGAATAGAAAGTGTGTCAAAGAATCTGGGACTGATCACAGCATTCTTATCAGGCTAGCACACAACATGGGTTTGTGACAGCACTGGTTTGCATTAGCATAATTTTAAAGTTTGGATTGTTTGATTGGACTACGTTTTCAGGAGAGGTCATCTATGGGTAAAGATAGAGATGTTTACTTTATGGTATAGAAGCCATGTGAATGTTGGACTTTGTAAAAAACAAAACATTGTACCATCAAATACAAGGCCAAAGATACTAAAAGATACCAAAAGCGACTTAAAGTACATTTTTAAAGTACATTTTAAATAGAGCTGTTAATATGGACAGTACCTGGAGGACAAGAAAATGGAACAGTAATTGGTCTAACAGGTATCAACATGTCAAACCTCGCCCATGCAGCCACGCGTTTGTAATCGAGGAAGTCCTGAGTGATGTCATGTAGTACTTGACATCGCAGTGGCTCACTCAGTTTTTTACTAGAAAGCTGTTTTACCTAGTTGGCATTAAAATGGAAAAAAGGACTAGGAACCATACACAATACAAATAAACATGACATACAGAGTTAAAAAAAAAAAAAAAAAGAAGTATTTAGTTCCACTTTAAGCCTCGTCAGGAGCAAAGTAGAAGCTGAAGCGCCCTTATTTTTATAAAATGTTGATCCCAAGATTCAGCTGTCACTACAGATCTGCCCTCTGTGTGGTTTCTGAAGCATTAATATGTTTGTTATGGAGTCAAAATCTTTCAAAAGGACTACAATAAAGCATTAAAGATCTTAACTATAACTAAATGGTATAGTTTAGTTAGGAGTGTGATTTTTTATTTTTTTTTTTTTGATGTAGTGTGCTGTTCAGGTGCACGGCCACATTGTCCTGTAGCATTCCCTCTTGAACACTGTGTTGCTTGAGACAGCTCTAGAACAGCTGCCGGAGGAGCTGCCTGTCTAACATTCCTCTTTGGTAAACATGGGTGGGGCCCTCCGCTCACTTTAGGCCTTGTTCTATGATTCTGTCTCGTTCAGGAACTCTGTACTCAAGCCATAGAACTCACTGATGCTCCCGATGTCTCCTTTGCAAAGAAATAAAGTATTTTTAAAAGTACACCCTTGTTGAGTTGTTGTTTTTGTCCAACATCTGGCCCTGACATTTGGACGGCAGGTTCAGCTCAGGAAGGCTGAAGTCATTAAAGTAAATTGGGGATGTGGTCTAGTCCTGTAGTGTGCAGAGCCTTTGAAGTGCAGATGTGTCAGCTATGAGCACATTGTAGTAGCTGGGATGTTTAATCACTCTTACATGTGAGTTTCATCATTCCTTTGTGCCAACACTTCCCTTGGATCTTTTTAACAAGAAAATGAGACTCAGTATTTGATACATCTATAAGAGAGATAAGACTTGTGAAGTTCTTTCTTGTCATCATGAAGGGCCTCAGCATAGTGGTTCTCTGAGTCTCATGTAGTTGTGAGGCTATGTTTGCATGAAAACTAAAAATCTCCTACAAACTAATCTGAGACATGTCAAAAATGTATGATTTATTACAACATTAGACTTAGAGGGAAATTATTTGGACATAGTAGCTCACACATCACTGAAGGTGGGACCAAATAGTTGTTTTCTAAGTCTCAAGTAAGTCTCAAGTCTTTGACCTTAAGTCCGAGTCAAGTCCCAAGTCAAATACAGGCAAGTCCAAGTCGAGTCTTGAGTCACCGGCCCATAAGTCCAAGTCAAGTCCAAATTGTCTGCTTTGAGCTTCAAGTTATTTCAAATCTTTAAACCAAAGTACCAAATATAGCTTAGATTTTTGCAATTTATATGCATTTTAAACTAAACTGTACCTAAAAAAATCATGGTATATTTATATATGAGTATTTATAGAGTATGTAAGAGTTGTAGAAATGTAATGTTTTTCCTTTTTAAATGTCTTGTCAAGATCTTAGTGCGAATCATTACGGTCAGAACAGAAAGTCTTTTCAAGTCACAGGCCTCAAGTTTGAGTCAAGTCCCAAGTCACTGACCTTCAAGTCTAAGTGGAGTCCTAAGTCTTAGTCCATTTTATCAAGTCAAGCCTCAAATCCTAAATCCTAGAATATAATAACAAAGAGAAAAAATATAAATGGTAATAATAAATTCTAAATAAATAGCAAAAAAGAGACAAGAGCCAGGTGTCAAATAAGACATAATTGTAACAAACATGACACCTCCACTTCACCACCAAGAGAAGAACAAGTCTGAACATGGACGTAGTCAACATAAACACTGACTCATTTGTACACAGACTTTTTAGCTCTCAATAAAGGTCAAAGGTGACGGTCTTTTTAAAGAGAGGTAGGGCCTGATTTAAATAAACGTAAGTAAATTTAACTACCTAAAGAGCCCAGGAATAAAATCACCTCATTCTCTATTACGCAGTTCCACTGCTATCCACAGGAGGGCACTGTTTCCTCAACAATGGCTCGTTTGGCACGAAGCCCACACATCTCCAGCCTGTGGCGGTGCAGAGATGGAAGGCAGGTTTGATGTTAATTATAAAAACGTCTGATTAAAAACACTGTAAATACATCTAAATCAAGCAAAACAAATTAATTAAATTGGCTTGCGCTTATAGTGTACAAGCCTAAATGTGCCACTGGACTCAAACATGGATGCAGTCTATTTATATACGAGGAATTTATTTTAAGTTATCTCGTAGCCATATGGCCTCATTGCACTATTCCTATAACTATTTACTTTTACGCGAATTTTACACCACGTTTTTCTACCACACGTCGTTGAATTATTACGCACAAATCAGAATAGCTTTTATTGAATGCAAAATATTGTGATGGCTGCGCTTTCCATCTTTCACACATGACTTTATCTCTCCTATAATTCCGGCACATGAGAGGGATTTAAATACAGAACATGTCAGTTGGGCACCGGGAGAGGACTGGAGCCGTGGGACGCCGCGCTTCCTAATTAACATTTCCGCGGTGGATGTGCGCTGGGTTCATACGTCTGCGCACTCGCCTGTTTTTCTGAATGACAGTAGAGACACTGAAGGTGACAGCATGCTAATGTGAGATCACTCATACAGTCTATGGTGGCTCCCCTGCCTTAAGCGGGGCAGGGTTATGCAAATAACTTCAAATGATACAATATTTTTCCACTCGCCTCGATGATGGAGACGCAAGGTTCACGTGCGTAATGGTGCGCGCCGCTGGTAACCTGGATGATCCTAATTAACTTTTAACAGGAAATATTATTCGCATGACTTACTCTTCAATATACTGAGGTTAATAAAATAAAGTGTATATAGCGTAGTTACTTATCACTCCTCAAGTAGAGGTCCTGTAGTCACTGGAACAGTTCACCTTTCTTAGGCTATATGACATCACAACTCCATGAAAGTATAGGCCTTCTTATTATAGCCTATTCAGTTTGTTTCATTAAATTAAATTGGAATAGCTGATTAAGAAATTAACTGTATGTGGCATGTCCAGAATCACATGGTACCCTTGCACTGCAAAAGTGGCACCCATGCCTCAACTGCAAACAGACCACTGTTGGGATCATGTTCTATCCTGACAAAAACAAAAAAGAAGAAAAAAATAAAAATTTAAAAATTAAACATGACATAATACCCTACTATCTCAGCTTCATACATGAATGGTACAGGCAACAACTGAATGTAAACGTTAGTATTTAGCATTTATGTATTTATTTTAGGCAAGTAGAGATTTATATCCTTATAGATAATAGCAATGAAAATAACCACAACAAAAAAATGTGCACAAAAAAGAGAGGGAAGAAGACACTTATTTAATCCCCACTCTTCTAATCTAACACAATGAGCTATCTTTTGCATTTTTCAGACATTTTGCACTAAACTATATGAACTACTTGCAAGTGCGGGCCCATGTACTGTATTTTACTTCATTAATTTGCCCAAATGGAGAACAACCAGCAGCCATAACTGCCATGGAGGGTCATTCCTATTGCTGCAGCTTCAGTCATGTTCTGGCCTAACGCAGGAAAGGTTTGTGAAATGTCTTGCCCAGCACAAGGGGACACAATGAGCGTCTGAGATACTGTGGTCCCATAGCAAAACAAACCTTTTTTATAGGGCCAATTTACAAATTTCCTGTGTGCCTGTGCTATTTTTATTATTAGTAGAGTGCCTTTATTATATAACCTTATTTTTCTTTTGTTAAAATAATTATATCTTCAATAATAAGGAAGTAGGGTCATATTCTTGTTTCTCCCGGGGGCAGTTAGTAATTAAAAGTTTGTGGCGTAAATAAACTTTCTTCTCAAAGCTTTTCAGCATGCTGGGTAATGCATTAGAAATCTTGCAATCACTTTTGTAACTTAAAAACAACAACACTTTTGTCCTGATCATAAACCCGTTTGACCTTCCACCATTTTGCTTTGGGACCCCCTTTCTTCCTTTGTGTCCCGTGTCCTTTTAGACCTCCATGTGAAATGCCACAGGTGTCTGCAGGCGCTGGGCCAGGCTATCAGCACGACACCTTTGGCGCTAAGTTGGAGGCTGTGATATTTACCTCAATTACCCAGCATGCATCTGAGGCCAATGATATGCAGATCGACATGTGTAAAGAAGAGATAGTGGCACGCTCTCTCAGCACCTCTCCTCTGTCCCTGGCTCTTAGGAACAGTCAACTTGGCAATAGGTTTTATCTCCAGGCAAATTGGACAACCATTGAAAATAAGACAGGGCTGTTTACTTCAAAAATCAAATGCAGCGAGAGACGACAAATTTAAACATGTCTGATTGAGCAACGGTGGCACAGTGGGTACAGTCTTCACCCGGTATCCAGAGGGTTGCTGGTTAAACTCTCACCTAAATGCAGATTGACATGATTACATCCCTCACATTGTCCACTACAGTGTCAACGTAGTGGCATCCAGCTTTAAAACCTGTCAAATGACCACGGAAACCTGGACTAAATAAAGCTAAAATATCACAGAATCGTACTATATTTGGGTGAATGAAATACAGATTGTTGCTTCAAACTTTTAAAGGTGCAATATGTAACCTTAGTTGTATGGCACCTGCAAGTAACAGAGGTGTTATTGCTTAAACTTTGACCTGATTCATCAGCCGGTTTCACTTCGTGGAAACCGTCTGGCCTCGCAGCATGAGGATTCATTCTCTTGACAGTAGGCTGGTACTTTTTTGTTTAATCAACTGCAGCTACTGGGTCGTGACGTATGTAATGCTCCAAATCCCGTAGGATGAAGGGCAATAATGTCTTTCCCCTTAATGAAATTCACCAAACATTCTCTTTGTTCCGGTTTTAAATCTCGGGAATAGTTGCCAACACAGAATGTCTGTCTTCGTCTACATCCATCTTGACCTCTTTGACGTCATGGCTTCACAGCTCTTCGCTGATTGGCTGGTGCGCGGTCTATGACTTCTGGTGTTCTTGCAAACCTTCTAGTGAATTCCGAATTCCTGACCTAGTCGCTGGAGAGAAATGAAATTGAGTGAAAGCACTAGGTGGCACCAGCCTAGATAATTAAACTTATCCGCAACCCCAAAATTTATAAAGATACAAGTATAAGAAACAAGCAATCAAAAACACTTAAACAGATCTATGGAGACAAGCAGCCAAGCAAAATTACAGGTCAAATTTGTGGAAAGGCGAGCCCACTCACTGTAAGAATGTATGTTTTTAGCAGTAATAACATCTGTAATTCAATAAAATAAAAGCAATAGATGGATAACTTCAAAACTGTTTTCCAGACAAAGCAATAACATCTCCATGAAAACAAGCAGTAAGTGTATAGCTCTAATCCAAGAAAAAATAACATAGTGCACATTTAAATATTCTGGACAACATTTAACAACTCAATTCAATAATATTTGGAAAAAATTAAAACATTGCTATACTAAATTGAATAAACTTGCACCTTTTATTTTAGCCTAAGGTCATATTCACAGTAAGGACATTCCTGTGCATTCAGCAGGCCTATGCATCCCCTGCTCTCCACTCATACTGCAGTAGAGTTTGAAGAGGATTACGATTATATCAGGCCTATTTACTATTTCATGTGGCTCTATGATACTCTGTACTCAACCCACTCAGCTCATTACTTTCTCC